ATGGATGGATGGATGGATGGATGGAAGTTTCAGTCACCTTGTGTAAAGTGATGAAATATTAGCATAGGGATGTTCCGATGCAACTTTTTCATTCGGGAAAGTGACACTGTTATCAATACACAGATTCATATTATGGCTGAAACAATCAGATTAATCGGGATTAATTGATTGTTGAAACTATTATCAACTAATTTAGTAACTGATTAATCGTTAACTGGAGTATAGAGGCTCTAAAACAGGGGCAACCAATTAAATATCAGCGGGATCCGAATAAAGAAAATCATCAACATTTTTAATGACTGCCCAACTGTACGCTTTTTTATGCCTTTAAAAAAACACGACTTTTTTTGTCTATGTTCGATCCATAAATCTGATATGCTCCATCTGAAAGGATACATTATCAGCTAATAGTGTTTAGAAAATGAGGCATTTTAAATAACTTACAAAAAAAGATATAGGAATCGGTGACTGAAGAGACCAGGGAGCTGAGAAGGAAAAAACTTGGTTGTTTTTTAGTGAACATTTGTTGAAAATAACTTGACTCTTACACACCAGAGCTGTTTGTGGTGGGAAATTTTACCACGACGAAAAGCTTGAAATATCAGTTAATATAAATAATTATTGATTAGTTTTATGTTTATCTATTAGCAACAAGGACTATGGGGAAATAGCCTGTAACCCTAACCCTGTTTAACCTTTAAAAATAGGTCAGCCCTGAATCCTCAACTCTGCTTCTATCCTCAGGAACACTGGCTGCAGTAGAAATAGAAAACTCTATCTGATGTATTTCTATTGATATTAATCAGGTTCCTTCAGTGATATAGATTGATATTGATTTTTTGTGCAGCCTTAAGGGGAACCGCTGTCATCCATAGCTTTCATACCTTCATGTTTTTTTCTGTATTGTATGTAAAATGCCTTGTATACTTTTGGTGATTGCTCCCTATTTCTTTTTGCACTTTTTCTGTTTCTGCATTACCAAAAACACGTTCAGATCCATAAACGGGGTGTTTCCCATCATCCCTGCATTCCAGGGAGGAGACCTTAGAAAATGGCTTTGATTCATAGCAGCTGGACAGAAGTGGTCCTGAACACGTTCTGTCAGACATTTCTATATTACAACAGTTTATATGTATTCTTTTAGTGTTTTCTTTTCCTTCAAAAAGCTTCTCCTTCAGAGCGCAATAAAGAACAGATGTTTCCCAGATTTAACAGCTCTATTTACGCTGCAGTAAATTAGATTGAATGGATTTCTTTTTGTCTTATCATTTCTTACAGTTTAGTTCCTAATGGTCCATTTGTGTTGAAATATATTTATCTGTCAGTCTCAGCTTTCATGGGCTTACTAACAGGAGCATGAGGAGCGTTTTTAGCATTCTTATTGCAGCCAAGAGAGGCAGTTTGTGTTACAGAGAGTGTAGTGATCGGCCTCAGGCTTGTAAGTCAATTACCAGCCTTTGTTTACTTTTATAATGAACGTCTTCTTTTGTTTCACACTAAGCTCGTCACACAGTGCTGTCCAACTGCTGCTCTTCTCCCTCCTTTTTCCAGACATCCTTCCATCATTCAGGCTTCCTCTATCATTTATTCCCTTTCTTAGACTCTTCCATCCAGATTCACCCATCAGACAGTTATTGGTGTTCTTTGAAACTCTAATAAAATGTCCTGTCTTCCATCTGAGCAGCTGGTTGGACGGCAGCTTCCCTGAGGCACTCCTGCACCTTCATCTCAGCCATAAGCCGTTATTCATTTGGTCTAATGCTTTTAGTGGGGCTGGGAGGTGAGAATAGTAACTGGTTTTATTTTTATCCCGTGTTCGAGTCATTAAAGCGGACAGTTCTTCACTCTGCTTTCATTCTCTCCTAATGCACTGGTACCCCTGCTAATGTCCTGCTCTAGAGCGTGTTTCTACAGTAAGATGAAGGAAGTAGTTTGATCTCTTGAGATTATTGATGGGATTGTTGAGGAGATATTTATTGTTTTTGTGAATTTGTTCTTCAGGCTAGAGGCGGCTGAGGGGGCGGAGCCTCGCTTCATGCAGGAAGAGGAAGAAAGCAGCGAGGAGGAGGAAGAGGAGCTGACTCCAGAAGAGCAAGGTGCAGTTTCCTTTTTTAATTGATCACTTTCCCCATAAGGTCACGCCCTGTCTGTTTTTTTATCAATACTGTCAGAACTATA